GACAGAACCATCAACAAGATCGAGTCACAACAGGCAGATACCATCAACGAACAAAACCAACAGACCACCACGGTCGAACAAAACAATGCCATCAAACTACAAGGCCAACCACAGAACCAACAAAACACCATATACAACCAAAAACCACAAACACAAAAGACAACAGAAACCAAAAAACCAAAGCAACAGTCCCTAAAAAATACAAAAAAATCGAGGGTTACTCGGTTTTGTTTACCGAGAGCACGCAAGGGCCTAGCCATAACTGAGGGGTGGCCGGAACTCAAGAGACAACAGTTTTAAAAGGTAAAAAACCGAAACTTACGCTCTAGATCTACGCTGTTATGGGGATATTTGTGGGGTTTGGACTTTAGATCGGTGCTCGGGGTGTCAAGGCGAGTGTTCTGGGTTATTTTTGGATTTTCCGTCCGCCGGTAGAGACAGCCGGAGCAGCGGCGTACGGCGGACCAACCATCGGAGTAGGGCCAACCATCTCATTCGGTAGGGCTGTAAATGAAACGAGACAGATCGCGAGCTACTCGAGATCAACTCGATCAAGACTCGATAAATACTCGGATCGAATGGACTCGACTCGAGTTCTTAGCGAGCCAAAACGAGCTACTTGATATTCGACTCGAAAAGCTCGTGAGCAACTCAAAAATATGATATATTAAGATTTTATTTTTTAAAAAATAAATTATTAATAATATTAACATTTATGTATTAATTTTTTTAAAAATATAATAAGATTTTCATGTATTTAAGGTTTATTCGAGTTTAAGGCTTCAATCGAGTTAAGTTTAAGATTTTTTTTTTTCATTTCGAGCCTTTTCGAGCTGCTCGGGAGCTTCAGTTCAGAATTTCGAGTTCGAGTCGAGCTTGAAAATTTTAAACTCGCGAGTTTTCGAGTCGAGTCGAGCTCTATTTCAGAGTTTTCGAGTCGAGTCGAGTTCAGTAATACTTGAGCTCGACTCGGCTCGTTTACACCCCTATCCTTCGGTGAGGAGAGCGTGAGAGACTTTGTGAGGAGGGATTTTTAGAAAATGGTGATAATGATGAATAAGAGAGGGTTTTTAGGTATTTATATATAAAGGACCTTTGTGCAAATAAAGAATTTTAAAATCCTTTCCACAATCCCTATAAGTTTGAATCGCAATTCAATTCGGTCACCCACTTCAATTTTACCTCTAAATTTCTAATTTAATCAATTTAGTCCATGTCTATATTTTTATATTTTATGAATTGGCCACCTACTTTTTATTTTTACTTATGAAGTTCATTTTAATACTAATTTAATCCATTAATTTCAATTTGTCTCAATTTGATCCTCTAAGTTGTTACTTTATTTTATTTTTGAAGTTTTTCTTATCTCCATATTTCCTTTTTTTCTTGATTTAGCATTTATTTATTTTATTCCTTATGTATTTATTTTTTTTCTAACATTTTCGATCTCTTTTTTAGAGAAAGTCCAACCAATCAAAGGTAAATACTTCGAATTGAATATTTTAAATTTTAATTTTAATTTTAATTTTTCGCAATTAAGGCAACCAACAAATTAATTGGTACTAAAAGGGCGATTCAAGAGTCTTAATCTTTCCTTGACCATAACATACTCTCGAACCCGATACGTTTCTGGTACGACGTAGATCAGGTAAGATTGTGTCCGACCCATCTAAATTCGTTTTAAAATGATCGGTGGTAACTCCAACTCAATCAATCCAAGTCGAAGCTCAATTCAGGGCCCAACCGAAAGACAGTTCCGATATATTGAAAATCTAAAATGTACATTTAAGCACTTAAATTTTAAAAGCACTTCTCGGAAGAGCATCATGTAACAAAACATTTTAAAGTCAATAGTAAAGTAGCCCACAGCATTACATGTTCCAGAGTGGCCCTAACTTAGTACCCGGCAGGCATTATTTGTTCCAGACTAGGCCTTGGTGGCTACTGCAGTCTTACTATGTAATATCATGATGAGAAGTTGATCAATCAAACAGAATGAAATACAGACGTCATTCTATGTTAAGTGGAATTAGAGAGAGAGAGAGAGAGCAAAACAGCAAAATAAACGACAATCAAACCAATCTAGCAACGAACGTCACAGAAGCGGAAATAGAGAACAATAATCATACATAATTGACAACTAGATAAAGTTTCCATTAGGAAGTAGTAAGCACCACAGATTAACTTACTTTTAAAACTACAACTTACCAACATATCATACATTTATATTTATATAAAGCCGTACCTAGAGATGATGTTTCAACTGGTGCTTCCAGAGGCAGGGTGCATGGTCAGAGGAACTGGTGCTTGAACCGGTGCATCCAGAACCCGAAAGATGCCAACATCCAGGACGATAGGCTTTCTTCCCATATCAGATGGCTCAAATACACACACGTCATGTTCTATTAAATTGTTGTCACACGCAAAACTCTTCCAACCACCAGAAAGCCCTCCACAATCACGACCTTTGTGATAATTAAATCTGGTCCTCCATGTACGCTCATTAATTCGTAGAATGACATCCATGTTTTCTCTTAAGAAATGTTTAGCTGTCCATGCCATAGGGAATGCCTGCATGGACCCGGAAAGACAATGATAAACCAGGGACATTTTAAAAACCACAAATTACCAAAGTTCTCAATCAAGTTCAGTGATGAAGTTTACCATATAAAATCGTTTCCACACATGTGTAGGCTTCATAACCACCATAAAACCTTCTTTGGTTAATGCCTCCTGTGCCTTTAAGAAGGCATTTGCTTTCTCAAGTTGAGTCAAAGGCGCTTCAAAGCATGAAGGGTGAGGACTGAACTCATCTTCATCAATTCTAGTACCATCAAACGCTGAAACATTGGTATAATTAAAACGGAGTAAAATAATCGGCCATCAAATTTGAGCTTTCTAGAAAGGCAACAATACTACATTTTAATTTGTCATTAAAGCACAGTTTCCTAACGCGAGTCCAACAACAAGGCACAACAAATGAATACGCAATATATACCCACCAAAACTCATTGCAAAGACCATAGTTATTTGCAGTATTAACAAACTTATCAAAAGTTAATTCCAGCTACGAAACAGGTTTTATGTGTAGAAAAAGATTTTAGAAGTGCTTCAACTCGTACCAATTTCTACCTTCACTTCTCCATCAACAGTATTAAGTTCTTTGCCTCCAAGATGCCTAGCATGAAGTGACTTAGCAAATGAACCTGCACGCCGACCCTTCTTATTAGTAGCTGCGGTGTTGATAGGTTGTGTCAATGGCGTTGTGTGAATGTTATTAGTAGATTTTTCTGGACTGCTTTCAAGACCACAGTGTGAAGAGTTGTGCACAATTTCATCATCATTTTCATCAAGCTTCCGTTTTGTTTGGTAACTGTTGTTGGGTTCCTTATGCACACACTTCTTCACAAAATAAGAAGATGCCTTCTCGCACAAGCTCTGGCCTTCAAACATAAGAACATCAAAATGGGACAATCCATTATACTTGAAGATCAAAAGGTCATTCTCTTCCAAAGAATGGTCGAGCACAAAATTTTTCCATCCACCTTCAAAGAACAAGGTTTCATCATCTGCAGTCAGTCCTAAATCCCATATTAGACCACTAGGACCTTTGACAGTCAAGGTTTCAGGAAGCTTTTTCATCATATGCTTTGCAAACTTTTCTGGTATTTCCTGCAGTTTCATACATCATTAAAATGCAAGGTAAATATATTATTTAAAAAACATCAAATGCAAAAATTCCTGAAATTTGTACAAAGAAAAAGCCAAAGAATGGTAAAATTGATTGCTAAAACCTGCCTATTACATCAAAATCTAAAATGCTATAAGTTTTAACAGGAGAAACTGGATAAGTATGCCGGCTGGGAACATGACAACAAGATCAAGCTTTGTCCCTTCAAATTTGCAGCTTCATCGCAAGATTAAAAGTCCATATTAGATCTTCTAACGTAGTTCAACGTTCTTGGTTTTTCAGAGTATTTTTTACTAAGCCTATATAGAATAACCAAAAGACAAAGCAAGGAAGGAAAAAGGAGGAAGTGCGAAAAAGGGAACTTACTAGCCGCCGAAGAAAATCGCCACGGAGACATTGAGAGAAATGAATGCACTGAAAATGGGTCCAAAAGATCTCCTCTTCCCTGCTTCGACAAACCCCACAAGAATCTCCCATTTGCTTAAGCACACAGATCCGCGCCCAAAATCCAGATGATTGACCAAAAAATTTTTAGAGTTGAAGACCCATTAAACCAACAAAATTAAAAGACCGCATGTCTCGAGAAGCGGGCGTAACTTTTAACTCGTGTACAAAAATGTTGGATGTAAATCACTAACCTCGAAATGCTAATATGCTCCGGCTTTGCGAGATTAACAACTAAGAGAGCTGAGCCAGGAGAGTAGACGGAGGGGAGTAGTTGAAAGTTGGGTAAATTACATGTTTAATACTCAAACTATCAGTCTTGATCTGTTTTAGTATTTAAACTTTTATTTTTTTAAAACATATACCTAAAGTTTAATTTTTATTTCATTTTAGTACTTTTTCCATTAAAAACTTTAGTTTTTGTTTTTTTAGTAACCCGTTCAAAATTTAACGTTAAATTTTGAAAAAATTAAAAGTATAATTACTAAAATAGATCAAAACTAATAGTGTATATACTAAATTCGTTAAGTATTTAACGGTAAGATACTAAAATGAAATGAAAACTAAATATTAATTATGATTTAAAAAAATTAAATATTAAATATTAAAATGAGTTAAAACTAATAATTTAAATATTAAATATGTAGTTTACTCCCGAAAGTTCAACAGTAATGTAAAAACAACTAAAAGGACGAGCCTTAGGCCTTTGGGTGTAACATACTTGTTAGCTGAGACTTGCCCATGTTTAGACTTGGGGGACAGGGCTGCACACCGCATCCATTATGTTTTGTCTCCTCCCTCTCGGCTCTGATTCTATATGAACACGTGACATCAGATTCTGATTCAGTTTTTTGGTAGGAAAGAAACACTCAAACCCGATTACTGAATACCTAGGCCTGGCCCAATTAGGTTCAACGGTCCACTAGTACAATCTCCGCCACCAACGCCGGTATAATTCATGTCGCAGGACCACCGTCGATTTTCTTACCTCTCTCAATAGTCTATTCACCACTTGTATCGGTTGTCAAATCTCCACCGCCTCTATCATCATCACCACCAAAGCAAGAAATCATCCTACCACCACCTACTCATCACCGCTGCCTCCACTTTTAATATTTTGCCACTGTTTGGAAAGGGGAAAACATTTTATGGAAAATGTTTTCCCCGTTTTCCTGTGTTTAGTTTCGGTAAAATATCTGGGTCAACGTAAAATATTTTACGGTCAATGGAAAAATGAGAGGAAAACACGGTATTTTAACTTACCGTTTGGAAAAGGGTAAGTTGTTTTCCAGTTTTCTCTCGTCCCTTTCTCCACACCGAAAAATCGATCGACTGTTTGGAATCCTTCTCACCGGCGAGGCGGACGGTCGTTTTCTCAGGTATCTCTCATTTCATCTTTCTCTCCTTGTTTTGGGTAGCTTTCTTCTATGGGTTTATTTGCCTAGGTAGCTGTTTTTTTGGGCTTCCTTTTTCTTTACTAAGTTTTTGGTTTAGAGATTTGGCGTCTGTAAAATTGTTCCAATTTTTTTCGGGTTTTTAGCGTTAGCTACTTGATAGTTTTTTTGGGGCTTCCTATTTCTTTACTGAGTTTTTGGTTTAGAGATTTAACGTCTGTAAATGCTTGCATAGGGGTTTACGGGTCCTTTTTTGTTATTATGGTAATATCTGCTCTATTATTGTGCTACTTTTAGTCTTATGAAATTTGGGATTTTTAAAAAATTAAGCCGTATTTTAATTGTGTTAATCCAGAGATTGTTTCTATATTCTATTAGTTCATATGTTATTTGATGAGTTGGTATTAGTTTCCATATGCTTAGCTAAATATGGAAGAAATCAAATTCGAACATGGGATTTTCTTTTATGCTATTCTTTTCCTGGAAGCTGGTTTCTCATCCTTTTGCCTATACTATTCTTACGTTGATTGACATGAATTATATAGTTTACTTCAGCCTCTACTGGTAATGGTGTTTCACTTTTGTTTATGTTTTCGTAATGATATCTGAAACCATTAATCTTTTTGTATTGAAGTGTTCTTATGATGTTTTTTTAGGACAAACATGTGAAGGAAATTGTCTTGAAAGCAATGGGGCAGACAATCAGTAAGACAGTAGCCATTGCAGAGATTTTAAAGGTTTGTGCCTTTATTGATCATCCTTGCATTTTGTTTCCTGTGTTCCATATTTAGATTCATATGACCAAGGAAGGGGTTGTGGCAGAGGGAGAGGGCGGAGTTGGGGCAGGGGTGGATACTCAAACTATGGAAATTATCAAGGTATAGAATATGGATTTGGATAACGTTATGGTAATTGTTGACATTTTTCTTTGCACTTCTACATTTATCAAGTATAAATTTGTATTTTAGTTGGACCATACTTCATACTTCAATTATTTCTTAATAGATAACGGTGGATACTCAAACTGGGGCAGAGGTGGTGGGCGAGGAAGAGGTTGGGGTTATCGTGGTAAGTATACTTTATTCACAGCCTTATTGAAGGAATGGTATTTTTTTTCACTTCGAGAAGTTTCATGTTTGTGCATTTATGCGAGTAACCATTGTTAAAATCTTCATACATGCTAAACAAGAATAGTTCATAGATGAATGCCCTTTGTCTTGAAATTGCAAACATCTGTCTTGACTTTCCTTACTCATCAACCAACCCATTGCTATTTTTCACAATACAAATGATGTAGAACATAGATTTCAGAGTAGATCGTACAAAAAATTGTCTAGTTTATAATGCCAATTGTGATGAAGTAGAGTTCAAAGGAAATACTCAATGATCATACCGATGATATGTTTAGCTTGGGCCAACAGCTTTTGCTTGTTATGAGCCATGACAGTTATATCTATCAAAGTTAGCTCAATTTGGAGAATATAATTCATTAAAAATGAATCTCAAATTGCTGACTATTACTTGTCCATATTTGTTTGGCTGTTTTATTCCGACAGGTGCTGATTATGAAAGAGGTAGAGGTGGTGGTGGTGGTAGAGGCTATAGCCGTGGCCATGGAAGGATGGGCGATGGTCGATCCAGGGGTGGTGGCTACTAAAGCACAATCAAAGGACGCATAAAGCTCGTGTTGTTCCCCCTTTTTTAGCTAGATGCTTGCCTTGGTCGGTGGGAAATTATGGAAGTAGGTGTGTTTATAATAGCGTGAGTTTGTGGGTTAAAATCTCAAGCATTATTAAGCAGTGGTTTTGTGTTTCTGCCTGGCATCATATATGGATGAGGGAAATGTTTTTATTTCGCATTTAGCCAAGGCCAAGAGGATGGGTTTATGATTTGTGCTGTATTTCAAGTTTATATGTAAATATTTGATTTCTTTATTCCTTTGACCTCTTATCTTGTCTCTTTGCCCAACCAATGCAAAGCTATGTCATAACAAAGGTTACCATGAAAGTTGTGGTTAAAATGTATTGACCTTATGCATTGGAGACCATAAAGCCAACAAAAAAAATCAAGGTATTGATATTAAAAAGAGAGTCAACGTTTTTATTTAAATAAAGGGTATCGATACCAAAACATAATATCAATAGCATATTGAGATTCAAAGTCTTTCTAATTGAAAGTATCAATATTAATCTTATAATATCAGTACTGAATGAAAGTATTGATATCCATAGAATGGTATCGATGCCGATCACTTAAGATGCTTAAATTATGCAAGTAGTCATGAAATTTTATATTATTTATGATTTGATCATCAATGTAACTGAAATTGTATGAGATTAATGGCGATGACTTCAAATAATATTTTACTTGCTTATTAGTCCTTAAAATCATAATTGCATATTAGTCATGATATTTTAATCAATTATTAATATTATATAAAATACAGAATTTTATAAAATATAATTATATATAAAAAAATGAACCTTTAAAAATAATAAATAATAAAACATATCCAATATTAACAGCTTCTTTATTAAAAACAGATTTTGAAAACTGTTTTCAGAAAAATTACCCAAACAGTGTAAAACATTTTACAATGTATCATCCAAACACTGGAAAATATTTTCTAGAAAATGATTTACATTTCTGTAAAATATTTTCTAGATTTCATTTTTCGAAAACTGTTTTCGGTGAAACAAATAGACACTAAAAGCATAAACCAAGTGTTTGTTTGTAAAGGGTCACTGAGAGGCCATGTTTTATAGATACCCACCTTAAATGTGATGTCGTAAATTTAAAATTTGTATTTAATATCTCATGTCTCTTTCTTAACCTCTTTGTTCTGAAAATATTAGAGGAATATGCATTATTGATCCTTATTCAAATTAAGTCATGTAAATGATAAAAAAAACATAAACTTGAATAAAAATAATAACTATGCAAAATAAAGATTATATATTATTCGCCTTTGTCTAAATTAAGAGATATGAATGACTAATTTTTTTTTTTGATAAACTTGTGGTAAATACAATATAATATCTGTTTAAATATTTTCAATCAATTGACAATAGATGCTCGTACTTCTATCTATGTCCGAACTTAAAACATCTAGAAAGAATAATAAATCACAATTATTAAAAATGACTTAATAAACGTAATTAATTGCTAATTCATATACTTAAAAAATTAAAAGGAAAAAAGAAAGCAACACTCCAACCAAAAGTAGCACAGATGTCTTTTATTCCCAAATAATTTGTTTATAATATATTTGGTTATACGATCAACTAATATATCACTCCCACGTTAATTACAAATCAAGCCCGTAAGCTTCTCAAAATGATGATGATGGCACGTATCTTTCGGTACTGGCAAACTATCCTCTTAATAAACCTAATGCTACCTAGATTCTTTTTCCTATTCTCTCTGGATTTTGCAAGCCTGAAGATGTTGTTTTGACCTTTCTTAGTGTCTAATCTCTTGTACATTTCCTCGTATACCTTATTTTTGCTTTAGCCACTGTTTTCTTGGCTACCCGCTTTGCCTCCTTATATATTTGTTTAGCTCTCGATCTTTCTTCGTCGTCATTACATTGTAGTAACTCCTTGAAGAAAGTTTGTTTTGTCTTAATCTTAGTTTAGACTTCGTCGTTCTACCACCACGATTCTTTATGTTCCTTGACCTTCCCTGTCGACAACCCAAGGATATTTTTGCCCACCTCTCTGATGGAATTTGCATGTTATGATTAGATAGAGAAGTACTAAATATTCCCACTAATATTTTCTCTTACGATCTAAACGCCCCAAATATGTATATAGGATTCCGATGAAGGAGATGGCTTTTTCTCTCATAAAAGTCGGACAAAAGGAAAAAGGTAATGCTTTCAATGTGCCACCCTCACTTACCATGAGAGGATTTTGACAGCAATTGGCTTCTTGTATTTTAGCTAGCATTAATTATGCCTTACTTTTTAAAAGCACTTTCAGTTTTAGTTTTCCTAGTAATCAGTACTTTTCCAGCTTTATCCTATACTATAACACCACTTCAGCTTTACTATATAATAATCCATTAACAAGTCGCTAAAGCTTGTAAACTTATGGACTCAATAAACCTCGAGACAACTGCAATGGCACATATCTTTCAGTTATTGCAAACTATCCCCTTTCTCAACTCCGTCCTTGTTGGTGGCCTATCTTTTATCTTGTTGATTTTCCTCAAGCGATTTGTGCTGTCGGGTCGCAACATGGGATCTACCAGCCTTCCAACTGTCCCAGGTACCCTCGGATTTCCTCTAATTCTTCCTTTTTTGAACGTTTTCGTTCGGGGTTTTTTAATTATGATCTGCTGAAGATCTTTACTAATTCCCGAGTTATAATCAGATTTGAATGAAATGGAATGAGATTCTTTTTTATTTGGTGTTGCAGAGGTACCAGGGCTACCGATCATAGGAAATTTGCTGCAGCTGAAAGAGAAGAAGCCTCACAAGACATTCAAAAAATGGGCAGAGACATACGGACCTGTTTATTCTATCAGAACGGGGGCTTCTACTGTTGTTGTCATCAATTCTCCCGAGACGGCCAAAGAGGTTAGCACTTAGTTTCCTTCTTGTTTTTTGGCTATTTGTCCCACCCTCCCATCGCTTGCATCATTGCAGTCACATGAGCAGGAGCATGATGGATGAACGAAAGTTGTCCTTTAGTTGCAGAAATAGCCCAAATTTATTGGGTTTCCTGGGCTTGAATTTGGGTCCGTGAATTATTGAAGGGCATTTTTTTAACACTTTATATCCATGTTTAAACTTCATTCGTTACTCTATGGATAAAAAGATGAAATTCAGCCTACCGAAATCTCGAGTCTATGTGGGCAAGGATTTAGATGCCCAATAATTAGCCCAATTTGACTCCAGTATTTGTTTAACATATCTTTAGGATATTACCACATTTGGTATCTGTACTTTGATAAAATATCTAATGTGATATTTTTTTAATTTTAGAATATTTAATTTGATACATATTCTTTGACAAATAATATTCATTGTGATACTTGAACTACTATTCTGTGTATTATTGTGTTATATGTGACTTTTCATTGATTGATTGGGCTCTTACTAATAGTATTAATCCATGTGCCATTATAATACACAAAATAATAGTTCATGTACGATACTTACAAACATTGTTAACACATATACCATAGCAATACACTGCATAATAGTTCAAGTACCATATTAGACATTTTGACAAAGTATAGGTACCCCAATGGACATTTTATCAAAGTATGTGTACCATATTGGACATTTTATCAAATGAAAAGTACTACATTGGACATTTTAAAAGTTCATGTGTTACCTCGAATATTTGGTTAAAGTAATGTACCAAGTGTTATTCTATACTCCTATCTATTTTTATTACACTAACAATTCAAATCAATATTTATTATCAGAATTATATATATCAGGATGAGCCTATTTATTTCGTAGTTAATATGACCCAAAAGCCTAGTTAAACCAATATGCTTGGAATTAGAGCAAAGACTGTATCCTTGTTACGTCTGCTTAGTTGTTCCAAATTACTTAAAATCAGTTCACACTATCCTTTGGTTACTCCATCTAAATCCTACCATTTCACAGGCAATGGAATTTATATTCTTTGCTGCTAGTGAAGCAGTCCAGGTTGATTATATTATCTTAATTGTTATATTTTGGTTGCTGTATAGGCCATGGTGACAAGGTTTTCATCCATTTCAACTAGAAAGCTATCGAACGCATTGAAGGTTCTAACTTTCGATAAATGTATGGTTGCAACAAGCGACTACAACGACTTTCACAAAATGGCCAAACGATGTTTGCTGACAAATACCTTAGGTTCAAGTGCCCAGGTTTGCTATCAAGACTCTACGATCCTCTCCTTTGCTTGTTTCAAACTTTTTGAGAACCTCGATTTGTTCTTTTCTTCTTATTTTACCCTTTTAGAGACGACACCGACACCACAGAGAAACTATGATTGAAAAGATAGTAAGCCAATTTCATTCTTTGCTGAGAGATGATCCTCTCCAACCTGTCAACTTCAGGGAAGTATTCGAGTCTGAACTTTTCGGATTGGCAATGAAGCAAGTGAGTTTTATTTATCCTTTCTGATATTGGGAACAAAAGGAATGATTTTTTTTGTTACATGTTGTGATAAACACCTTGTTATTAAAATGCAGACAATGGGAAAAGACGTGCAATCGATTTATGTGGAGGAACTTGGTACTACTTTCTCGAGAAAACAACTACATAGAGTTCTAGTCCTTGATATGATGGAGGGTGCAATTGACGTAGACTGGCGAGATTTCTTCCCATATTTGAAATGGTTTCCCAACAAAAGTTTTGAAATGAATATCCAGCTAAAACATTTCAGGAGGATGGCAGTGATGAATGCCCTTATCAAGAACCAGATGGAACGAATCGATTCAGGAGAGGTAGTCTTTTTCTTAGAACCAAATGTCCGAGTTATTTTTTTCTTAGATTCACTTTTTTCCCTAATGAATTGGTTGGATCAAAAACAGCAAGTGAATTGTTATCTTGATTACTTGTTATCCGAAGCAAAGAAACTTACAAAGGAGCAGCAAGCTATGTTGCTGTGGGAGACAATCATTGAAACAGCAGATACTACTCTGGTCACAACAGAGTGGGCAATGTATTAGCTAGCTAAAGATCCAACCCGACAGGTTGTTTTAATTACTAATTTCCCTTTGTGTCCTATACATTTTCGCCATATTATTAATTCCTTCTTTCAAATTTTACAGGATCGTCTCTACATGAAATAGAAAAGGTTTGTGGTTCTAACAAGATCAAGGAAGAAAACTTTTCGCAAATCCGATACTTGGATGCTGTTTTCCATGAAACCCTTAGGAAGCACAGTCCGGCTCCTTTAGTTCCTGTAAGATATGTTCATGAAGATACTCAAATAGGAGGGTATTATATACCAGCAGAAACTGAGGTTGATTTCTGTTCTACCTGAAATGCTTATTTCTCCTCTAATGGAAGGATATTAAACTGACACTATAACTTGATCAGACTGCTATTAATATCTATGGTTGTAACATGGACAAGAATCATTGGGAAAACCCTGAAGAGTGGAATCCTGAGAGGTTTATTGGTGAACAATACGACCCTGTGGATTTACACAAGACAATGGCCTTCGGAGCCGGAAAGAGGGCGTGTGCAGGTTCTCTTCAGGCAATGTTGCTCTCTTGTGCTGCCATTGGTTGGTTGGTTCAGGAATTTGAGTGGAGCCTGAAAGATGGTGAAGAGAAAGTTGATACAGTTGGGTCGACCTCTCAGAAGCTGCATCCACTGTTGGCAAACCTCAAACCAAGAAATTAAGAGGGAATACCCTCAACTTAATAAAAATAAATAAATAAAGCATTGATGAACCATCAATATCTTGCCAAAACTAAGGTATGCCTATAGGCCACCAAGGAATTAGTTTTAACTATTTGAGACCGAGGTTTAGTTCTCTGAGTCCAATATACTTGCATTTGGAGATGAAATGTACCAGTAAAATTGGCCTAGAAAATATCCCCTGAATGCATGTTTCTTAACCAGAAGTCCTGTAGTTGTCATTTGTGAACCTGTCCCATAATAGATTTGGATTGTGTGTGGTATACAAATTGGAAGGTAAGCGTTGGGTGGAGAGGGACCCAAATAGAAGGATCCTCGAACCATCCCATAACGTATTGAAAGCAATGGGAGTCGGATGCAAGTGTTGGGCACTTTCCTATCCTTGAATATTTCGTTTTCATGCAACTTCTCTCGCTTAAAAATTAATGCACAACCAGCTATAATCTGGGCCTTAGCCTGGAATGGGAACGCAGTTGAATTGGAAAACCGAAAATGAGGAAGGGTTAGTGGTACAGTAAAAAAACTTGACAGATACAAGGGGTGAGTGAATCCGAGTCACCATTCCTTCTTTGGCTCGCTGCCGCTACAAACTTGAGCCCCACGCATGCTTAGCCTTTAACAGTAACAACCATTCCATCTACCACGTGTCCAACTGTCAAACCCCCTCTTGACCAGTGTCCTGCGCCACTGGAGTCTGGAAAGGGGGTCAGGGCAAGATGAAACCGGTAAGTTATACAGTGCGGCAGGTTTAAAAACGGCTAAAGGCGTTATCGGTTTTGTTATCATTTAAATAATAAAATCGGTAAAATTACCTAAATTTTTCCAATAATTACCTAAAATATTATGTTAATCCGGTCATTTTTTAAGCCTAATAATATTTCCGGTATTTTTTTTTCTCAAAAATCCGATAAAAAACACCTAATAATAACAAAACCGATAACACCTAATAATATTTTCGATAAATTTTACCGATTTTATTATTTAACATAATAACAAAACTAATAACATTTTATTTTAACCGATTTTTAGTCTGCCACACCGAAACTATCCTCATGAAGACCAGGTCAAGTCATTCCCCCAAAGCAACGACAATCCCAGGCTTGCCAAAGCCAGCCTCAACCCCAGTCAAATTACCTACTGTTCAATGACAAATCGGATAAACTATTAGAAATACAGAAGGAATATTTACTATTATTTAAAGAATGATCATGTAAATATACGGATACAAGGCGGTGAACAAAAAAAAGAAAACCCCACAACATATACAAATAAAGATATTGGAGAGAGAAGCGAAATCAAAGGAGCAGAGATCTCGGCAACCGAGAAATCCGGCTAACAGGGACAGAGTTGAGAGTACCCGGCCAGCAGGCAAAACCCAATTATTGTTTCCCACGCTGCCCGACATGATTACATCCTCCATCAACTTTTAGTATTTAACTACACTTGTGCTTCTCTTACATTCTATATATTAAATGGCTTCTCTTTTTCTCCCCCTATGCGGGCTCATTAAGCTTGACTGTCCGTCTCGTTTTGAACTTGTCACATTCTTAATCGGTTTAATCAATCTGCACTTTTTTTTGTATTAAAAAAAGTTTAGCTTAATAGTGTGGTTCTTTCATTTCATAATCAGGATATAATTAATAATTTGCATTTTGTTTGAATTTTTTTTAATTTAAATTTATAAAATTTGAGTTGAATAAATTAAATTTATAGAATTTTAATCGAATTTAATGAAGTTATTTAAAATTTTTGATTAAATTTTATTCTAAATATTTATATTATTATGACAATAATTCATTTTAATTTAAACGATTTTTTATAATCATACATACGCACACATGTGTGTATATAACTCAAAATTATGAATTTTTTTGAATTATATAAAATTTATTTTATAACTAAAAAATTATTTTTAATTAATTTTTGAAATTAATTGAGTTTTTAAAATTATAAATTATTAAATTAAATTATTTTTTTAATATTAAATAAAATAAAATAAAATTTTTAAAATCAAATTTGATTGATGCTTACCCAACAAGTCCACAACAGGTTTTGAAATTATAAGATTTTCTTAAGGTTTCTCAGTTCCTCTGCTTTTGCTTTTATATCCAATCCAACATTAACAAAACCCTCAGATACTCTTTTATAACTTCCAAAACCTCTCTGCCTCTCCATCCTCTCAAAACTCTCTCTTCTCTGTCAAGGAATTAGCCTTGACTAACAGCTTCCCATTCATACTCCTTGAAACAATAAAAGACATGTCTTCTGATTCCGGCGACAGGCGTCAGGTTTCAGTTCCAGGAACTATGGCGTCGCATCCACCACCTAAACTGACTGAGCTACTTTCGTGTCCGAGGTGCGACTCAACCAACACCAAGTTCTGCTACTACAACAACTACAACCTCTCTCAGCCTCGCTACTTCTGCAAGGCATGCCGCCGTTACTGGACTCAAGGTGGAACCCTCCGTAACGTGCCTGTCGGTGGTGGTACCCGCAAGGCTTCCAAGCGCTCTCGATGTTCTTCTGGGTCTTCTTCATCGAGCGTGACCCATGAAGCCGAGTCTGCTCCTATGGTTGTTAACCCTATCCCCGTTATTCCTGGACTTGGAATTAAACCTGAAATGGGTTTGGCTGAGGTTAATTTGAACGAAGCTGTGGATCTTCCCGTGAACGGAGGCTTCACTTCATTCTTGACCTCTCAGGGAGAAGGATACTTGACGCTTGGTGGATACGGATTCGGAGCCGGTTCAGGGTATGATGGGGTTTGGGCTTATCCTGGAAATGGTTATAACCTGAGTGGCCTTAGTAGCGGAGGTGGTGGTGGGTCTGGTGGTGCTGCCGCAGGTGGAAGTACTGGGTGTAATACATGGCAACCTTCAAGCGATGTTGAAGGCAACGGAGCGTTAGTTGATGGGGAGTGCTTTGGTTGGCCAGGTCTTGCGATTTCTGCACCGGGGAAATGTTTGAAGTGGGAATAAAAGATTCAACAATTTCAAGAAACAAAAAAAGTGTCGATTTTAACTCTTCTTTTTGTTTGAAAAGTTTGCTGGTTAATGGTGGTGTCGCTTTTATATAGAGAGTAAGACACGATTATAGTAGAATAGAGAAGACTGTTGATCAAAGTGTGTCCTTGTTGTGAGTAGTGGGTTTCTTAATGTTGTTAGACTTTGGTTTTTTTGATGGACTGTAAATCTTTGGTTACTTTGCACTGGTAAAGAAATGAATGGATAAACCACAGTTTTTTTTTGGGGCAACGTTGAAATTCTTCGTTATAGAAATTTAATTTGATTTCCTCTGTAATAAATTTTCCATGGCATAACCAGCCAAATCTCGAGTAATTGATGTTGACCCCTTTTTTCCAACCAGATAGCCGATAGGGTTAACATTAACCAAGACCCGTGCTTTCAAATTACTAATTTCAGACAAGGAAAACAGGTAGTAAGTGGACCTGGAATTTAGAAAGAAAATTTGCTGCTTACATGAGTGACATTCCACGGTTTCAGAAGCATTTTCTTAACACTTGCTCTTTAGTGAACGTTATTGCTTCCATGTCCCTACATGGAAGAAAAGTTCAAACTCTTCCCATTTCAAACCTACTGCAAATAAAACCAAGTGAGAAATGTCGGGACCATTACGGCTGAGCTTAAACTGTTTCCAATGTCCCTCGTCCACTTTCCTTGATATAGCATGAGATAATTCATCCATGCAATACATAAAAATGTACAACGATAGTAAGTCACATTGACAAATATCCCGTGTTGGTTTTAAGACGAAGATAATTCTCCACCATACCATTTGAATAAATAATGAATTAACACATAGCATGATTACATGACTTAGTGTTGTCGGAATACTCGATTCTTGTAATGTGTCATCCATAAAAGATGAGCCAAACATGTCATAAACCTTCTTCAGAAGAACCACCCCAATCTTTTATCAGAATTCTGGACTAGGATGGCCTTACTGCAGCTCTAAGAAATTAAGTTTCTGGTGTTGCTTGGGGTGGTAAAATAAGATATTTAGTAAAAGACTTTAATTAACTATTCTGAGCTGATTAGGAAGAAGTTGGTAATTACTATAAACGATTACTTGTACATGCATGTGATTGGAGATAATAATGTTGGGCCAAAAAAAAAAGATTCCACAATAATACTTCTTATTTAAAATTATCTTTATGATTACCCTCTTAGCCAAATTCTTGTTTTCCCCATCTCTTGACATTGTAGCCAAATTCGTCATACCAAATTTAATAGAATCACGGACTCTAGATGCTTTACATGTGTATGTATGCTATAATAGGGTGACATTATTTATGTTAATAATACGTTTAGTATTTGTAAATTTAAAATTAGTACATATAGCATTTATATTGTATTGAAAATGACAACGTCAATTATTACGTCTTAAATCATTCCGTTTTGGATAGTGGAAGGTTGAATGTGAAGGCAGCAGCCAGGTAATGTGCACAAAGTGCATTTTTTAAAATGTTGAAAAATGGAACGTTGTCAGGTGTATTCATCATTTTCCATCATCAATGTGGGGATACTTGTTAGCCCCACCTTTATATACGACGCATTCACCCCTATTCCAGACTTCCAGTACTCATGCAGACCATGGGGCTTAATAATATATAAAAACTTTTAATTTTAATGAGAAATGCATGAAGCTAAGACCGTTTTAAACTTTAAACTGAAAAAATACAACTTTGAAGCTGAAATTTGTTCAAGTCAAATGCTCAGCGGCTTTTGCCAAAGCAGAATCTGAAAATCACCTTTCCATAACCTTGAAACAAGCTAAACTAAAGGCGTAGAATGTTCCGGGTTGTCCGTTTGCGATGACTAACAATGACAATTCCATGTTTTTTTTAACCGAGTGGCTTCATTGGTGATTTTATGTCTTGCTTTTTTTGTTAATGTTAGGTAGCTTTCCCTGCAGAATGGACAGTGGCAATGAAACTTTAGTTACTATGTCCGCATGCGCATCCGAACATGTTGTCCCCCGTAATTGACGGATTCATTATTCATGCATGATGAATACAGTGTTTTGATTACAATCCACATTTTGCTTCATTATGATATGTCGAGATGATAATTACAGTCATTTGTTCACCGATCGAGATGCTTGAAGACATTTGGTTTATTAATTATTACTATAATTTATTTGACAAGATTAAAAAAAAGCACACTGCACACGGCAGCGATTAGAGAGCAATTTAGGGTGGACTACTTGACGACTGACGATAGAGTGGTTAGGGCTGTTATTCATTAAAATCGAACTGAATCGAACTGAATTAACTATAATCGAATTAATTAAACTTTTTTTTCTTTAACCGTTAACCAAACCGAACTTTTTTTCAACATATTAATCGAACCGAATAAATTTCGGTTAATTTTCGAATTAACCGAAGTTTTTTAAAATTTGCTAATTTATATAAAAATTAAATGTTTTTTAATTAAAAAAGTTTATAATTAATTTAAATAATATATAATTATAAAATAAAAATTTCAGATAAATTTTTTAATTAATTAATATTGATTTAGGTTTAAAAGTTATTGGATCTTAAATTATTAATTGAATTTTAAATGGTTTGGATTTAGCCCATATGTTATATATAATATATTTAATATTTTTTAATTAAAAAAACAGTTTACAATTAATTTAAATAATATATAATTATAAAATAAAAAATTTATATAATTTTTTTGATTAATTAATATTGATTTAGGTTTAAAAGTTATTAGATCTTAAATTATTAATTGGGTTTCAAATAGTTTAGGCTGAGCCCATATGTTATATATAATATATTTAATATTTAAAATTTAATTTCGGTTAATTAACCGAATTTGAACCGAATTAACCGTTAATCGAATTCTAAAAAATTTCTTAACCATTAACCAACCGAACTAATTCGATAATCGAATCAAATTAATCGAACTAATTCGATTCGATCGATTAACCGAATTAATTCAATTATTTGAACACCCCTAAGAGTGGTAATAATAGCACTCAATTATCAATCCATACGGCACCACTCTTATGGTCAAAACACCATAATTCAACGGATTTTGATGGTCTGATTATATATATATATATATATATATATATATATTAATTTTGGAGTTCAGAGTGGGACAATGCTGATTATATAGTAAATATAATTTCAGGGTGGGATGAGACTTAGTTTAAAGTGAAAAATCACATATTCGATTTGATTTGATTAATTTTAATTTATATATATATATATATATATTATATTTTATATTTTTATATTTTATATTTTTATATTAACATATATTATTTAATTATTAAAAATATAAAATTATTATAAATTATATTATTTTAATTATTTTAAAATATTAATATATTCGGTCTAGTCTTATTAGAATCAAGATTTTAATCTAAAAATTAAAACTAATTCAGAACGAGAAAAAATCTACAATTTATCGAGACAAAACGGAATCAATTTTAGATACATATTTTAATTCAAGGCTGTCAAAAAACCGGTACGGCCCATCAAATCCGTGCCTAGGGCTGTAAATGAGATGAGATAGATCGTGAGTTATTCGAGTTCGATTCGATCAAGGTTCGATAAATACTCGAATCGAATGGACTAGAATCGAGCTCGAGCTCGACTGAAGTTCTTAACGAGCTGAAACGAACTACTCGATATTCGACTCGAAAAACTCGTGAGTAGCTTGAAAATATAATATATTAAGATTTTATTTAAAAAAATTAAATTAATAATAATAATATTTATGTTTGATTTTTTTTAAAAATACAGTAAGATTTCATGTATTTAAGGTTTATGTTCTAGTTTGAGTTTGAGGCTTCAATCGAGTTAAGTTTAAGAATTTTTTTTTCATTTCGAGCCTTTTCGAGCTGCTCACGAGCTTTAATTAAAGATTTTGAGTTCGAGTCGAACTTGAAAATTTTAAACTCGCGAATTTTTGAGTCGAGCTCCATTTCAGAGTTTTCGAGTCTAGCTCAATTTTAAAGTTTTCAAATCAAATCGAGCTCAATAATACTCAAACTCGACTCGACTCGTTTACGCCCCTACCCGTGCCATCCCTAGTCTCCTTTCGTTATCACTTGGACCCTTCCAAAACTAATAATAATATAGTTCCGTCGATATCAGCTAGTGACATTTGAGGTGGGACTGAAAATCGACCGATTGCCATCACTGCGGGGTGATACTGGTGCAAGCTTTGACCAATCACCACTAGATTTGTTACACTGTGTTGCGTAGATATTTTGAGCATAATTTGATGGAATTTCATTTATTGAAATTTTAGTTATTGGAATTTGAATTCTGAAAAATAATTATATTTTTATATTTTTTATAAAATAAATTACATTTTTTTTAAAAATATCTAAAAAAATGTTTTATGATATTTAGAAAATATTATTTAAACTTTTTTTCTATTAGTTGAAGATCTTTTTAAAAATTATTTATTACAAATATAAAATATAATAAATAATATTATTTATCATAAAATTTAATATTATTATTTTAAAATATTAAAATAATTTATTTATTATTAAATATTATTTTTATAATTTTATTAATAAAAATATTAATTTTTGTATATTTTAATGAAATAAAATATTATAAATTATATTAATTATTTATTAAAGTAATAGTGTTATATTATATTTTAAAAATATTAATTAGTATATTTTAAATATCTTTATTAAAATATTATTTAACTATATAAATAATATTATTCATTATTAAATATATAAATTTTTTATTATATATTATTAAAATAAAAATATAATATCTTATATTATTATAATATAATTGATTATTTTATATAATATTAAAAATATAATATTATATTATTATAAATATTGATAAATAAATAAATAATATTTTAAAGAATATGATATTAAAATATTTTTTTAATATTAAATTCATAAAATAATATTATTTTGAGTATTTATTCTTTGAATTAAAAAGTTCAGAAAATAACTTACGGAAAATGATTCCGTAAGTCATTTTACAGAA